AGGTGGGGTGGGGGGTGGCGTGGTGGCTCGGTGTTAAGGTGATGATTGGGGCAGGGTGGGCGGCGGTGGTGTGGTGGTGGCAAGGTGGGGCGATGGTGGGGTGGGAGGGAGGAGGGGGCCGGCAAGCAAGGCAGGACAGTGGGCAAGCAAGGCAGGGCCGCCGTCGCCTGCTGCTGCGTGCCGGGAGCACGGCACGCAGGCAGCAACAGGGCTGTAGGCACTCCGGCACCCCCACAACTCCCCGCCCCCGACGCCGCCCGCACCAGCACTTGTGAAGAGCGGGTGGTCCACAAACAGACGCCGCACGCCGCCCTGCAGGCACTGCCACAGGTCGGCGTGGGCGGGAAGCGCGTCGCCGCCTGTACCGCCGCCGCCGCTGCCGCAGCCGGGTCCCTCCTCGGCCGCCGCCGCCGCTGCTGCTGGGTCCTGAGCGGCGGCCGCCTCCCCGCCAGCCTCTGCCGCCGCATCCGCCATCTCCTCATCCCCGTCGCCGCTCCCTGCCTGCTCGGCGCCTGACGCGCCTGACGCTGCCGCCGCCGCCGCCGGGCGCGCTTTCCTCACGGGGAGCGGCGGCAGCTCCAGGGGCACGCTGACCCCGGTCGGCTCGACCCCCGTGTAGGGCGCATAGCGCGGCACCACGGTCAGCACCTCGTGCCCCCTGCACAGGAAACAATGCAGGAAGAAAATAAAAATACAGGATGATCGCTGGCAGCAGCGCGGCGCGGGCCGGCGCGGCGGCCCAGCCAGGGGCAGGGGAGCCCCCCCCCCCCGCGCCGGGCGCTGCTGCCGGCACCGACGACGACAACAATAGCGCCGCATCAGCACAGCGCCGCACGGCACAACGCAGGGCAGCACAGCGTGGCACAGCACAGTGCAGCGCGGCGCAGCGCGGGGGGGCCTCCTCCAAACCTCCCCGCTCACCTGGCTGCCAGCGCGGGCGGCAGCGCGGCCAGCACGTCTGCCAGACCGCCCACCTTGCACCAGGGCCCGCATTCGGTGGCCACAAACACCACCTGCGGTTCAGGGTGGCAGGCGGTGGAGCGGTCGCAGCGCGGCGGCGGGTGCATGGTTTGGCTAGGTGGGTGCTGCTAGGTGGGTGCTATATACCTGCGGCGGCTCACCTTGAGGCCCTGGGTCCCCGGCGCCGCCAGCGCTTGGCAGGAGGGCGTCACGGTGGCGGCTCGGGCGCGGCGGGGTGGGCGGCCGGGCAGGCGCCGCGGCGGCGCGGCGCGGCCGGGCGAGGCGGCGGGCAGCGGCGGCGCCGGCCGGCGCAACAGCTCGACAGCAGCGGCGCGCTGCTCCCGGGGCTGCCTGCAGCTGGCGCTCTACTGCCCCTGTCCAGCTGGTGCCGCCTGGCCGCTCTCCAGCTGCTCAAGTGCTGCTCGGCCGCAAGGTGCCTGGCCAGCCGGCTCAGCGGCCACCGGGACAGCAGCGCGCGTGGTGATGGTGTGAAATAGCCGCAGCAGAGCTCGCTGTGACAGCCTCTGTCCTGAAAACCACCAAGTCACAAGAACAGCTTCCGGCGGCTCACGCCTGCGATCCTGCTGTCGGTGATCATGCACGGGGCCTGCACACCGGCGATCGAGCGCATTCGCCGCTCGGGACCGGCTGACTGGCAGTACTCAATCTCGCCCAGTACTTTTACGGAGAAGCCCTGTCACACTCGACCCGCCAACAAGCCGCACGAGCTGCTAAGACAGCTTGCACAGCCCTCCAAGGTGCCATCGCAGCGAGCTCCGCCAGGACTTTCACGGGAGACGTGCATTGGGGTCGGGGTGAGCGCCAAAAGACCCAGCCGTGCCCAACACAGCTCTTTGTAGCTATCGGCGGGCTGCAAACCAGCCGGTTTTCAGGTGCATGGCTCAGGTCGCCGGTTTGCCGCCTCTGCCCACTTGCAGAGCGTTCTAGTGCTCGCACACAAGTCTTAATGGCTCAGTCATCGCCCCAGGGCAAGAAGAAGGTGGGCATGCAAGAGACACCTTATCGGCATCCCCGCGAACGATAGGCCCCCCGGCCGCTGCCATGAGCCCAGCCTGCACTCCAGGGCGCCGGCCGCCGCCCCAGCCGACCGTCCCGCTCGCCCCCGGCCCGCCGCCTGCAGGGCAAGCGGTTTGCGCCGCTGCCGACGCTGGCGGCGGCGGAGGGTCAGCTGCCCTGGCGCCTCGCCTTCTCGGCCAAGCTGGGCCGCCACGCCGTGGCCGACCGCGACCTGCCAGCTGGCACCCTCATCCTCACGGAGAAGCCCTTGGTCGCCATCCCACGCAGCAAGTGAGAGGGGGCTTGGTGGGAGCAGGGCCTTCCCACAAAGGAGCGGCAGCGAGGGGTGTGCCGGTCGGCGGCGCGCCACGCACGCAGCGGCCGGCCCGGGGGCCGCCGCGGCGCTGGCAGCCAGCGCCGCGGCGGGCAGAAGGCAGCGCAGGCGGCGGCGCCTGCGGCGCGCTTGCGGCCGGGAGCGGCAGCGTCGTGGCCACCGGCCTGCCTGCCGCCCACCCAACCCTCTGCTGCCCCGCCTGCCCGCCTGCCTGCCCACCGGCCGCCCTCCCAACCCGCCCCTGCCCTGCCCGCCCGCCTCTGCCTGCGCAGGGCCGCGGGGAGCGTGTGCCACGCGTGCTTCGCAGAGCTGCCCGACTCTCTCAAGAAGAAGGGCAAGGAAGGGTTCAACCCTTGCCTCCCCCGGTACTGCGCCGCGTGCAAGGCCTCGGGCGGCGGCGCAGGTCCGGCGGCGGCGCAGAGCAGGGCGCGGGCGCTGTGCGGCCTTGCGGCGGCGTTCGTGTCGTGCGGAGGGGGCTGGGGTGGAGGGGCGCCAGGGGCGGGGCTGGATGGGGGCGCCATGTTGGGGGGGGGGGGGGGGGGGGCC